CGCGGGCGCGCGGGGCGGGGCCTGAACGGGGGCGGGCGCAGAGCGCGACTGACGTGCAGGCTGACCAATGGATGGGCCCGTGCGCTGCCCGCCCCGCCCCTGCCGGCCAGACAATGGGGGAAGACTGGGCCCCCGGGCTCGGCCGGGCTCGCGAAAGTACTCCCGCCGAGCATGCGCTGCGGCGCGGGGCCTGCCGGGACTTGTAGTCCATGAGCCAGGCCTCCTGCGTGGGCGGCTGGGGACTAGCTTTGGAGGGGGCCGGCGGGTGTTCCCCAACTTGGAGGAGGGGCCTTTTCCTTCCTCCAACGAGGAGCGGCGTGGTTATTCAGGTACTGAGGCAGACCTGTCCCGAAAGCGAGGAGAGTTCTGACTGGTCCAGCTCTCTGACCCTTCAGCCTCAGTTTCCCCACCTACGTTATGGTCCCGTGATTGCCAAGTTACATTTACAGTTTCACGGGACACCGCTTTGTTCCCCAGTGTGCCAGAACACCTCCCACCGCCATGCTTTGCCCTGCTGGGTGGGTCATTCAGGAGTACCCTCCTCAGTCCTAAGCCCCGGGGCAACTCCTACACGTTCTTCAGGGTCCACCGTAAAAGGCTCTGTGTAGCAGCACGGGATTCTTAGGGGGGCCATCAGCTAAAGAGAGGGACAGGTAAGAGGCCCTTTCTCGGGAAGTGGCATTTGGGACGATTCTGCGATTGGATTCGGGCCGTTCCAAGATGGGGGAAGGGCCACCCGTGCACAGGGAACAGTGTATATAAACAAAGCTGCACCCCGCCTCCAGTCTCCAGGGGACAATTGGTCCTGTCCCCACCCGCCTCCCAGGCCGCCTTTTCTCATCTGGACGATTGCCTCAAGGCTGAACCTTTCCTTCCAAGGCTGAGGACAGGCTGCCTGGGCTCAGGGCTGGGCAGGAGGGAGCTCCCAAAAGCTTAGGTGCGGCAGGGGGACCAGGCCCCAACCCCACCAGCTGGGTCAAGGGAGGCCTGCCTGACTCCTGACCCTGGGGTGGCTGCCAAGCAACAGGGGCCTGGCTGTCCCCCACCGCCCGCCCACGCCCACAGCAGCCCAGCTCAGCCCTTCCCAGGGCTTGGGGCTGCATCTGGAAAAGGAGCGGGTGGGGGAGCAGGAGGTGAGTGCGGGGAAGATGATCAAGGGTACCTCCTGTGGGGCAGGCACTATTCCAGAGCCTTTCCTGGTTCAACTGACTTAATGCTCTCAACTTACCTGTGAGGGAGGAAACAATATTCCCTGCTTTACTGTTGAGGAAGCTAAGACAGATGGGCAAAGGCAAGTGGGGGGCTTTGACCTGAGCTGTGGGCAGAGCTGGCTGGACAGAGGGGGCAGAGCCCTCCGGCCACTGCCCACCCCATGCCCAACACAGGCAGCTCAGGCAACTCAGAGGCCTAAGTTCTGGTCCCTGCCACCCACTGACAGAGTGACAAGACCAGAGCCCCAGTTGCCTCCTCCGCAAAATGAGAGCCTCACAATGGGAAGTGTGAAGTCGTTAATTTACATTCCCACATCATTGCTTAGAAGCTGTGTGGCCTGGGGCAAGTCACTTAAGCTCTCTGTGCCTGCGAGTCCCTCACCTGTGAAAATGTGGAGACTGCTAGTACCTACCTCAAAGGGTTGCTATGGAG